ACCTTTCCTATTCACAAAATAAAATGTCATTTTTACAGTCTGTACCATAAAAAACTTAGTTGTTTAACAATAACAAAGGAATAATTGTCAAAAAATTGCTTTTGTTGAAAAAGGTTAGTTAGCTTAATCAATTTTCCTTTACAAAAATTCACTTGCATACTTATCATCACTATTGAAAACCAACTAATCCCAATCAGTTTTAAAAGTTATTGATTGAAATAAATATGAATATAAGAAGCAGAAAATATATGGCTTTGTCTATTACTAAATTTTTGTCACATATGAGTGATTAGCATGCAATTGATGTTTATTACAACTTCGGCAATTTCCTAGGTTAACATCCATCATTTGGTTCAACTCAACTGACTAGTAATTAATTAGAATTAAGTAATAAGATTTAAAACTATATTTACAAGTTTCAGAAATAATCAAAATTTTTTTACAAAACCACAATAGTTGAGAGTTACAAAATGATGTGAGCCTAATTTTCTAAATGATTTCTAAATTCTTGTTCTTTTAAGAATATTTTGTCTATAGTAGGGTCCATTTTAAGAAAATATTTTTGGATGGAGATGTAAATGATTTAAATACCCACACTACAAACTACTGAAATATATATAAATAACATTAGATACATTTTGTTGAGAACTATTTTCATTCCTCTAATGATGATTTTCACTCATGTTGCGATGTTTTTTGTTTCTTGTTTTTTCTTTCAATGTTTGGACATGAAATTTTAAAATACACATTTGGAACATCATGATTTTGACAGTATGCTAATGAATGAATTTCAAACAATGTAGAATGATGAGTAGAAGAACAAAAATAATTTGTGACAAACATGTTTATTTCTCTAAAGAGACATTCAAGTGGGGGGATTTGCCCCATCTGACTCAATTGGAGCCACCAGTTGTTGTTTTTTTTTCCATTTAAACCGTATGAAAAATATATTTATTTCTAATTCAAACTAACTGTTAATAAAAGCGTAGAAGATTCAAGCATTAATTCCTAAATAAAAGGTAATTTTGTATTTTATTTTTTCATAATTTATTACAAATTGTTATAAGTAAACTATTTAAAACATAATTAAAAAATGTTTCCAACATTTCTTTCCTTAATAAAAATGTTTTAAAAATGATTTTGGTGGTTGTTATTATTATTATTATTATTATTATTATTATTATTATTATTATTATTATTATTATTATTACTATTATTATTATTATTAATTTAACAGTAGTTGAAGTATAATTAACTTTAAAAAAATAGATAGAATTTGTGAGAGTACAAATTACTTGGGGAAAATTTTACTTGAAACAGGAGGGCTTTGTGAATTTCGGGCCTAGTTCATCCCAGTTTGTCCATAACATTGCATAAATCACAAGTACATTGCTTACAAGTAGTATGTAAGCATGTTCAGTTCTTCAAAATAGATTCAATGTCTCACATGCTGCCAATGTTATTAAAGGTGCCCTCAGCCTCTCGGTGAATCTTTGCATGTCAAGTGTCACTACTACGTCAATCTCGTCATCATCTCCACAGGCATATATTCCATGCAATAAGCTAATTGATGTCCTGATTCAATAATTAGGACCACAAATGGGTATGGGTACGCAATTTTTACGGTGTTATCAAAAGAATAAACACATTTGTCACTAAGCGAATGATTGATGTTTCCTAATTTGCTTTTGTAATCACGCTCAAAACATTTATTATAATTAAGGCGAAAATTAGTTGAAGTGGAAACAGCACATAATAATAAGTTTGGGGACAATTTTTTAAAGAAAAAAGGACGCGTAGGCAAGAAAATTTCTGACAAGTCATGCACATGCCATCTTGGATGAAGCATAGTGGAGTCTACTACGCCAACCAATGGGATTCTAGATAAGTTTTGAAAATTTTCTTTGTAATCAAAAAGATTCAATCGATACCTATATCATTAATGAAAATATTTTCATTTATTGTAACAATTTATAGAATATAACGTTTTTCATTTATTATATTTTTAATTTAATTTGTTAATATGAAAAGGTTTTAGTATAAGACCGAATAACAGGAATTATTTCAGCAAATATTGAAAGACATTAAAAATAAATACCACTAAACTATGAGCCCCCTACCCCTATGTAACGCAATGTAATGCTGCCTTAAACTCCCTCCCCCTTCTCCAGCATTACGTTATTAATGGACGACCCCTATCTTGTGAGAACAAACATGCTTTGTTTTTCTAAGATCATTACATGGTTTACAGTCTTGCTGCAAGAGTTTGCTGTTTGCACACTGGTTTTAAAATGATGTAAAATTAATTTATTGTATTTAACCATATTGAATATTAAAAAAAATGGAATTGAATTTTCATATTTCATCCATTCATTCATCATATTATCATAATTAAATGTCTTTGTTGTCTAAGTTATGTGGGCATGTAGGGGTATTAAGAAAATGTTGGCTACACATTACAGAATAATATGCACTTAAAAGATCATTTCAATGTGGCCCAATAATATTTAAAAAGTCAATTAGAAAGTATTCTTCGCAGGCATTAATTTTGAGAAGCGAGCGATTTTGTTTCCACCGATTACTCAATTTGAGGGTGACTTCTATCGTGATGGTGTTGTGTCAAGCAGATTTTTTTTTTCCTTCCGGAGAGGAAAGAAATTCATAGCATAAAATACTTCAAATGAAACGTACATAAATTTAGACTAAATGTGTTGACTGTCGCTGGGATCAGAGAGAAAAATCTTTCGGTTCCGGAGGCTCCTTTATCCGAACTTCGACAGCCCACGTTTTAACATTACACCGCGCACCAGCCACAGACCCCGGCCGCAATGCTATAGATAAAGAACCGTGTCGCTAGATGGCAATTCAATCAAGGGGAGCATTCCTCCCTTCGGCCCATAAACTTCCATAAAAAGTTTCCTTTTGTGGCCGTCTAGGTACATCTTGAAGGTACAAAGATCTGTATCTAGGAACACGACGGAGGCGATTAACACAGGAAAGGAGGAAAATTCAGGAGTTCCTCCTGTGAGCGACTTCAAAAGTTTTCTCGTCGAGAAAGAATTCGAACAGAGTAAATTTGTCCTAGCATCAATTGAAAAATTACACATTTTCTCTCAAACACCAGAGCAAATATTTTACTTGTAAATTACATGAAGGTTACAAGGTTTTCCTTCTTCCCCTCCCGTCCTCTAAAAAACCTCCAGTGTGTTCTGTGCCTACACCACTGCTTGTTGTACGTAAGAAATCAGGTTTTTCGTCCATTAAAAAAATTATTAAAAATTCTTTTGTGCCTTTTTAGCTACAATGACTCGTAGCCCTCTTTTGGACGTTGATTGTGAATACATAAATTCAGTAATCCTCCATTAAATTTAGTCTGGTCTCGTATTGTCGCAGTCATTGTCTTTTATCCCTTCAGCCAGGGGCTCAACGGCGTTAGTAAACGCGATGCCCAGATAGTTACCCATCCAGCAATCCTGGTGTTTCGAGTTACTTAACTTTTGTGTCTTCACGGAGCGTAGTTAAGCATTTCAGTAAACAACGCCGGCTCCATTGATATGATATATTGAGAAAATGATGAGAAGGTTCCTTGACATAAATGTGGCTTCACTAAACCGACGTTTTATTGGGCCCTCCTTTTGCTAGTTAATGTAGGAGTTTTCAAATGTTGCTAACCAGGGCTTGATTTCACGCGGAACGCGACGGAACAGCGTTCCGGTTCATCGGGAATATATATTAGATTATATTATACGAGTAAATATATAACTATTTCTATTAAATTAACACCTAATTTGGGGTGCGTAACCGGATCTACAATTTTATAAATGAAGCACAGTTGCTAACAATGTTTTGTTCGAACTTCTAAAAATCATTCAACTGTGCATGGTAGAAGATTGAGGATTCAGGAGCTCAAGAAAATGAGCACATGTTATAGATACTTCCCCCCTGTTAAGTCACATAGTAGTGTTGTTTTTGGTCGAAAATAAACGAAAGCAAAGAAAGAAGAAGCAGAAGAAGAAGAAGAAGCAGAAGAAGAAGAAGCAGAAGAAGAAGAAGAAGAAGAAGCAGAAGAAGAAGAAGAAGAAGAAGAACAAGAAGAAGAAGAAGCAGAAGAAGCAGAAGAAGAAGAAGAAGAAGAAGAAGAAGAAGGAGGAGAAGGAGGAGAAGGAGGAGAAGAAGAAGAAGGAGGAGGAGAAGGAGGAGAAGAAGGAGAAGAAGAAGAAGAAGAAGAAGGAGGAGAAGGAGGAGAAGAAGGAGAAGAAGAAGGAGAAGAAGAAGGAGAAGAAAGCAGAAAAGAAGGAGAAAATTAATAAGAAGGTTAGAAGGAGAAGGAGAATGAAGAAGAACGAGGAAAGGAGGAAGAGAAGAAGAAAAGAGTAGAAGAAGAAGGAGAAAGAAGAAGAAGAAGGAGAAGAAGAGGAGAAGAAGAAGAGAGAAGATTAGATAGAAGAAGGAAAAGAGTCAAAAGAGATAGAAGGAAGGAATAGAGAAAGGAGAAGGAGAAAGAAGGAGGAAGAAGAAGAGGCAAGAAAGAAGAGAAGGACAGAAGAAGGAATGAAAAGGACAAGAAGAGAAGAAGAGAAAGGAAGAAGCAGAAGAGAGAAGAGAAGAATAAGAGATAGAAGAGAGAAGAAAGAAGAGGAGAAGAAGAAGAAGAGAGTAAGAAGAAGAGATAGAAGAAGAAGATAAAGAAGGAGAAGAAGAAGGAGAAGAAAAGAGAAGGTAGAAGAAGAAGAAGAAGAAGGAGAAGAAGAAGGAGAAAGAGAGAGAATGGAGGAGAGAAGAAGGAGAAGACGAAAGGAAATAGAAGAAGAAAGAGAGAAAAGATAGAAGGAGAAGAATAAGGAAGAAGAAGGAGGAAGAAGAGAAAAAAGAAGATAGAAGAGAAAGAGAAGAATGAAAGGAGAAGCAAGTAAGAGAAGAAGAAGAAGAAGAAGAAGAGAAGAAAGAAGAAGAAGAAGAAGAAGAAGAAGAAGAGTGATACGCACGCGGCAAATACGAACCGACGAGGCAGTTGCGCGCCGCCAGGTCGCGGTGGATGCAGTTGCGGCTCTCGAGGTAGCGCATGCCGGCGGCCGCGTCGCGGCACATGCCCAGCAGCTGGCGCTGGGTGAGCGTCGCGGCGCGGTTGCGCAGGAAGGTGAGCAGCGAGCCGCCGGCCACCAGCTCCATCACGATCATGATGGGCTGCTTCTGCACGCAGATGCCGATCAGCCGCACCACGTTAGGGTGGTCGTACTGCTTAAGGATGCGGCCCTCCTGCAGGAACTTGCGCCGGTGCTCCTCGGGCAGCGTGACGCGGCACGTCTTCACCGCCACCTCCTGCCCCGACGACTTGAGGCGCGCCTTGTACACGTCGCCGAAGTTGCCCTGCGCAGACGCGAGACGTGGTTGGCTCTTAAGGCCCTTTCATGAGCATATCGCATAGACATACACATTAACATAAGCGATAGACTGAAGTATTCACAATGCCTAACATAACTTAAGCTAAATAGGTTTCTATTGGCTGGGAGACTTTCTGGTTGGATGTGAGAATCGATTTCAAGATATCGACTGTGTCTATGTCCCATATGGCGTTAGTTCTTCTATCGACTTCGCTCCAATTTCGATTCTCGATTTTGAGTTACCGTTGTGATTGGTTCATTTCTTATGTTTTACGTAAGCATAAGCACAGAAGCTTCAAGCTTGCTAGCTTTTAAGCTAGCGTCTTGCGTGTTATGCTCATTGTGAATGAGTCCGCTTATGGACGAAGTTATAACTTTTATGTTAACGCCATGCTTATGTTTACGTTTGCATTGTGAATGGCCCTTTAGGGTTTGTGACTGGGCGCCTGCGCAGGCCAACGCCGTCATCAGGTGACAGTATCAACAGCTTACTACAAAAAAACTCACATATAATACATGTACATTATTTTGCAACACCTTGCCAGATGACATTAAACGATTAAATTCGACTCAAAAGTTCAAGTACCAAGTAAAATAGTTTTTACTGCACAACTGTTTCTATACAATTAGATACTATACTGAGTATCCAAAAGGAAAGTAATATTAATATTTACAATGACATTTAATGTATTTTATACCATTTGGATTGTATAATTGTAAAGAAACTGTAACAAGTATTGTACTTCAGCTTCTGGGTCAATAACCCCCATCTCGATCAGGTTTTCGTCCAGTTTCCCTGGTCCTCGAGCAAAATGCTAGGATGGACCCTTGTATTGCTTCTGGACATAAATGTAACTTCAAATTAACTTCTCCCCATAACACGTCACACAGTTTTTAACTGTTTGTGACATAAATAAATAAATAAAACATGAGAGGGGCGGGCAGCTACATTTCTGGACCCCTTTCCACTTTTTATTTAGTACATCATATATATTAAATCTCTAAAGAGAACGATTTTGATGTCCCTCCTAATTGGCTCCCAGTGAACGGTTTTAAACAAGAGAGGTACCAAAAAAAGAAGAAAATTAGAAGTGGAGGTCACTAGATAATGAATACATAAAACATTTTCTTTACTAATAAAAAGCTACAAAATAGCTGTTGTGTGAAATGCGCGGCTACGAGGGAAATGGGAAGTTGGGGGGGGGGGCATGCCCAACTTGGCAAATTCGCGGGAAATGGAAGAGCAGTTAACTTTGCTTAGAGAACATCGCATTGTGATCGTTAAAACTATCTATTGTAAATATTCAATCTATTTTTATTCGTATGATATATATGAAAAACACCAAAGAGCAAGGGAATAATGATTATCATTTTGAAAATATATTTCTTATATTTTGCTGCATATATTAAGGTAAGGCAATGATTGCAATGAAGGCTTGACAGCAAGATATGCTGTTATAAGCCTAAACAATATCCATGCATTTATGAGTAAAGATCTTTGTAAACATAAATCATAATGTATATTCATGGATATGCAGTATTTTTTGTTTTAACATTTCAACAGCACTTCCTTCTACGCGATGTAATGGCACGGGTTCAGTTAGTATGTCACATTTTACTAGTAAATAAATAAACAAATAAATAAATAAATAAATAATACTACACGCGAAATTTAATTATAACGTAAATGATGAAGAATACACAAGTTGGCAGATGGCTTGGAGATCATCTTCCCCACATAATTCAAAATGTTCATGTTAAAAGGAGGAAAATCAGGGATTAAATATATAAGGTAGTAAAATGTTTTATTACGTATTGCTAAGGGGGCACTTTCAAAATTTGAAACCCCTTTCAAAAGGAACCTCGATTGCCTTTTCCCTCCCATCTACAAAACAAAACCCTTAATATCGATCGTGAAACAATCACGCATTTAACATAAAAATAAATATTTCGCATGTGACTGACCGGTGGATACTAGTTACTGGGTGCTCATTGTTGGGATGATAGGACAGACAACAGGAAGGAATGGTCATGCACGGTCCATGGCCGATTCGTTAGGAGCTGATTGGTGATTCCGGGCGCATCAACTGCTAAGGTTATTAGTCCCGTATGTGTACTGCATGTTTTCCATCGGGAGGTGGCGGAGATCTTTCCCGATGGATGATGAGATCCGGCACCAACCTGCCTGTCCGCTAGCGGAGGTTTCGCTAATCAGGCATCTCCCATCAGCGGTGCGCCGCCCCGGCCGGAAAAAGTTCTAAGCTCCCAATCGGTCTACGGCATACGTGGTAGTGTAGTCCATATGAGTGTACATGTTTGTAAAGAGGTGTAGTGCATGTAAGCGTAAATGTGTGTGTAAATAAGGGGAAGGATAGGACAAGGAAGGGGAAGGAGAGATCGGGATCGGTCTGTGGCCCGTTTGTTAAGATCCTGCTCCGGCCATCCCCTCGAATTGATCGGAGAAACCACGGAAAACTGCCGCTAGGATTCTCCTCCAGACAGCGACTGAATTCGACCTAGCCATCTAGGTAGTGTCGAAAATCCTGGCTCCGTCGGGACACGAACCTAGGACCTACCAGTCAGAGTGACTGCGGAGACAGCGGCAATGCTGACTCTGAACTAACTCAGCCGGTACCCACAGTTGAACAAAAGGTCATGTTGATCCTGCAACTGACCTGGACTAAAGCAATGGAAAATAGCGATGGATGAATGGATAGAAAAAGAGAGCGAAATACTGACAGAGACATAGTGAGAGAGAGAGAGGGAGAGAGAGTAACAGGGAGAGAGAGAGTAACAGGGAGAGAGAGAGTGACAGGGAGAGAGAAACAGGGAGAGAGAGAGTGACAGGGAGAGAGAGAGTAACAGGGAGAGAGAGAGTAACAGGGAGAGAGAGAGTAACAAGGAGAGAGAGAGTAACAGGGAGAGAGAGTGTGTGACAGGGAGAGAGTGTGTGAGAGGGAGAGAGAGTGTGACAGGGAGAGAGAGTGTGACAGGGAGAGAGAGAGTGTGACAGGGAGAGAGAGAGTGTGACAGGGAGAGAGAGAGAGTGTGACAGGGAGAGAGTGTGACAGGGAGAGTGTGACAGGGAGAGGGAGTGTGACAGGGAGAGAGAGTGTGACAGGGAGAGAGAGTGTGACAGGGAGAGAGACAGAGGGAGGGGGAGAGAGAGGATGCTCACCCGGCCGATCTTGTCGAGCAGCAGCACGTCGTCGTTGTTGAGCTCCCAGCGCTCGCGCAGGATGGGCCTGCGCAGCACGGCGCCCGACCGGCCCGTCACGGGCAGCGCGCTCTGCAGCTGGTGCGCGATCAGCTCGGGGATGGTGGGGAAGGCCGGGCCCTCGAAGCGGAAGTGGCCCTGCGCGACACACAAGGCACTTGGCATAACAGAGCACGACATGAAATTATCATGGGTAATGAGCGCTTTGGAAATTGTCCGTAAATCCCCGACTCGTGAAGCGAGGAGGAGATTTATCTGAGAATTTCCAAAGCACGAGGGGTATTTAATAGGACAATTTCTAGAATGAAATTACGCCTAACAGAGTTCCAAAAAGCGCCAAATATTGAAAATAAACTGAAAGCTATGTTACAATCAAAGAGGCTATGTTATAGTATTCCATAACATACCAACAAAGAGATGGTCGTTCGTATCTCAGAGATGTATGCAAAGTAATGGTCTCTTCTCTAGCAGACGTACTATACATTCATACCTTCAAAATGGGTTGTTCAGAGCTTGGTGGCTAGCTCACGTATATCATATCATGTTGGTTCTGATAAAATGGGTTGTACGTACAGTGGCAGTGATCAGTATATCTTGTACAGATCTCGATGCAATACCTTGTACTTTGTACACAGTACCTTGGGTGTGTGCTGCTTCCAACACACTTACCACAGAGAATGTTCGTGCTAAAAAAATGGGTCGTTCGTTCCTTGGTGATGATCTGTACAATTAAGTGCTAGAGCTCTCCCCAACAGACATACCACAGAAATTGTTCGTTGTGAAAAAAACAAACAAACCAAAAGCGGTTGTTCGTATGTTGGTAATGATTACTGACCCTCCTCATCAGACGCACCAGAGAGAACGTTCGATCAGGAAAAAAAATGGTTGATCGTACCTCGGCGGTGGTCTGCACAATGAAGTGCTTGTGGCCGCCCCAGCAGACGCTGAGCACGGTCTGGCACTCGTCGTTGCGCGTCGTCTGGCGCACCAGAAAGTCGCCCTCGCGCGTCAGCAGGCGCACCACCTCCTCGCGGGGCAGCACCCCGTGGAACCAGTCCTCGTCGGCCAGCGCGCGCCCGGCCAGCCCGCCGTTGCTGCCGGCGCCGTTGCCGCACGCGCCGCTGCCGCCGCCGCCCGCGGGCACCTGCGCCGCCGCCTGCGCCCGCGCGCGCGCGCGCGCGCTCTCGTCAGGCGACCGCCCATGCGCACACTCGGAAAGCGCTAGCGCGTGCGCACACGCGACAAGTGACAGCGCATGCGCACACTCAGAAAACGATAGCTCATGCAATACACACAACTAGGTCATGCGCACACTTGACTAAAGCATGCGCACACTCGACTAAAGCATGCGCACACTCGACTAAAGCATGCGCACACTCGACTAAAGCATGCGCACACTCGACAAATTTTAGCGCATATGCGCTAAACTCAACAAGCGATTGCTTACATGGCAAAAGATAGCGCATGCATACACTCGGCAAAATATAGCGCATGCGATACACTCAACTAGAGCATGGGCGCACTCGACAAATGTTAGCACATGCGCACACTCAGCAATCGATAGCGCACACTAGGTACACCCTGGCGCATGCAAACACTAGACAATCGCTAGCGCATGCACACACTCAACAATCGCTAGAGCATGCACACACTCAACAAGCGCTAGCGCATGCACACACTCAACAATCGCTAGCGCATGCACACACTCAACAAGCGCTAGCAATAGCAAACGCGCAAGGACACACTCGACAAATGTTAGCGAAGGCGCAAAAGTCGATAAGCGATAGCGCATACGCACACTTGACAATCGCTAACTCGCGCACGCTCGCAGCCCAGTGTATGCGCACGCGCACACTCCAAGAACATGCGTGTGCGCATGGATTTTGCGTTCGCGCACTCGAACACTTTTTGCGCATAGTCGACGATCGCTCGCACATAGAGATGACAATTTTTAATACCACTGCATCGATACTGCAATATACCGGTAGGTCAATGTTATACAATTATTTTCCTTCAAGAATTTAGTAGTAAAGTCGTCCCGAGAATTCAGACGAATCAAGGTTGATCAATATTAATTCCCTTCCCATTATTTCGTGGTAGGAGATACTCTGTCGTCGTAACGTCACCTTACGTCACAAGCTAAAGTATTACTTTGGACATGAAAGTCATACTTTCCTTTTCCAGACTCCATATTCTTTTATGAATTTACGATATAGATCGGCCTGCATCACTTACTTCCCTTCCGAAGAAAGACATGCGAATTATGGATTTTTCTCTTTTAAAAACAACTGCTTACCGATGTGTGCTTACCGATGCATCAAATTAATGAAAGCAAAATATCGTTTACGTATCGAAACAGTACAGTGCTGCCATCTCTATTCGTACACTTGCACAGTCCAAGATCGTGCGCAATTCGCCATGCTAAGTTGGAAACAGCTGAGTGCGCGGAGCCAAACATGCACGAAACGATCAAACGACACAAATTAATACAATTAATCACGCGAAAAAATAACAAGAAAGAAGAGAGGACGCATTATTTGTATCTTCCGACACGTTTTTGTTTTCATAAAGCCATGGGAATTCGGCTCCAAAGTACATACTGAAAGGATTTTGCTCATTAACGAATGATACCCGATTATTGATTTGCAATAAAAACACTATATAAATATAATCCTGCCCCAGTAAGATTATATTTATTTATAATGCAGAATGCTTCACTTAGGAAAAGATATTATCAAACACATCTTCGCTATTCCATACAAAGAAAATGTTCAATATACAACATTAATCGTATAAGGTTAACATTCAAATATTTGAATACAAGCAGGTGAAGAGGAACATTACAAAACTACTCGAACTGCATTAACTAGCAATTTTTCTCTTTGTTTGGTAATCTTATTCCTAAGCTAGCGTCATTCCACAGCAAAAGAAAACCTTTTCCTTTTAGGTTTCCGTGAACTGAAAAGAAAAGGTAAGTAAATCACAAAATTAACATAGAAGAATTGTCCTTCACAACAACATACTGCAAAAAATGCGTAAATATGTAAACAAGCACGTGCAGACGAAGTAAACACAGGAAATGCACACATGTAGCAAAGACACAAGGAAGGAAGGAACATTTGTTCTGCAAACGTGCGCATTTCTACAGGACATTCAACAGATGTCACGAAACGACTAACACAACACTGCACATAACAGAACAGAAGAACACAGGAGATAGCAATGCAGCATAGGAAATGAGAGGCGACTGAAGACTGCAGGAAGGGAAGTTCAGCGCGTAATATACTTTTACATGTTTCACGATAGCATGCTTGATGAGGAGTGAAAATAACGGCTAAATATCTCGAGATTTTCCTTCCGGTTATTTCGTTTAGGATTCTGTAGGATTTTCAAGAGCAAAATATGGTCACGCAGCACATTCGAAACCAGTATCCTTCAATTTGAAGGACTAAGGATTAAAAAAAGAAATTAAGTTTCCCATTCTCTTGAACAAAAACGACATTTATAAATTTTGCATCTTTCGTAATATTTTTGATATTTTGCTATTCTGACGATGTGTTGTATTTACACTACAAATAAGATCTGATTATGCTAAAGAGATCATTTTGATGGAGCTCAAACATGTGGCGCATAAGGCGCGAAAGATCTGGCACTTCGGGGACCATTATTACATATTTCTGGTAATTCATTTGCACTGTGCTTGTAAACATGACAGGCACATCTCATCTTCGATAACATGATCTGTCCAACGCACAACTAACGAAGAACGTTTAAAGTTACACAAAAATCTCGAGATAATTGCCTCCTGATTGGAATTTTTCCTTCAAGTGAAAGTGCAAAAATGTTGCATACTTCGTGCTTCATGCTACATGCAGACACGTGCATATGGGAAATTGGATGCAAGGTTGTTTTGCAAAACAAACGGAGCGATTCTTCGCAAAGCCGGAAACAATTCCGAATACCTGCTAGGGCGTGCGAACACTAGACGTCGCGTGCAAACAACTTGAGTTAGTGCGTGCAGGGGACGTAAAAAGTGTGGAATTTCCATATAGGTGTAGCTCACTTGTGGGGAACGTCAGTGCTTAATGAAGTGTCATTAAAAAATTTCTTCGTAACAGACGATAATAAGGTTTCTTATAAATATTTTATTATTGAATAGAACTTCCGAGAAACTGGCACTACGAGTCTCAAATAATTCAGTGTCTGAGGATTTCTGTAGAATTTCGTTGTTTTTAAATATTATTTTTCTTTAAAACTCGTTTACAAAATTAGGTTTTTACAAGGCCAAGGCCATTAGTATTTTACTAAATCACACTTTAACGTATTCAAACTTCAATCATTTAGTCGCAAAATTTTAAAAACTTATACATTTTGTGAATAGTTAATTACAGATAATAATAGATACAATATAATAGGTAATACATAACAAATAATAACAGATACATAAAGACCATTCAGTTTATTACCTCGTATTTGATGATGTAATCCGTTTATTAATTCCACCAACGTTCTAAGGCTCGAACCCTCTAAGAGGTTCAGCCCCAATATTACTGTTAATTATTTTGGGGAGTCATTATTTAATTAGTTTCAGGAATTGCAGAAATAGTAATGTCATCAAAGTATTAGGTATGAGAAACACATTTTACTACCTGCATACGAATAACTTAAAACTTACATTACTTTAATTGTATTTTCTCAATAAATAGTACTTACTACATAGGTTAGCAACATTTTCGTGATCAATCGGTTGCTGAAGTTGACTCTGGTTGCTCGCGAAAAATAAATAAATAAAGCCTGTTTGGGGAGGGGGGAACTTGTAAATACGATTTTTCCAGCAGAAGGCAGCTCATGATAGTCAGAGGAGCGTTCACTAATTGACAGCGCATTAGGAGTGTCATCTTTACTTCAAGTGCACTAGAAGTCAGCAGTGAATTTTAAGTAAGTGATCTGAAGATGAGTTGTTACTGAGAAAAAAGATTGTTCAAAAAACGAGTGTTGAAAAACGAGAATGATGTATCTTTAAATTTTAACAAAGTGATCTTAATCTGATTATAAATGTATCATCGAATTTACGAAGCAGAATCATTCATTTTAGGTGTCTCATATTTCGCACTAGATCTTCTGTAGCAAATAATTTTATTAAGCACATCATCCACAGGTTTGCCAATATAAGCGGGTTGACACATCAGAAAATCCCAGACTTCGGTCTCTCCGTCTCGGGGCTCCGTGCTTATTCCGAGCGCCCCCCACCCCCCACCCCGCCAGCGCCGGAGCGCACAGCTCCGCCAGTGCATCCGCCGTGAAAGTGCAGCAAACAAGCGAAGGTCGCGCTGCGCAAGGCCGCTCCGAACGCTCCCTCTTGTCGCAAGCACAGAGCCGAGCGAGATGGCGGAGCCCAAACGCGCACATGCCTCAATAAACAAATCAATAAATCGATTTTTGGTGAAAATATAATCCTACATTTACATGAGAGACAATAGACGATTTAAAGAATTTACAGCAAAAAAATAGATGCGGGTGTGCAATTATTTTAATTCAGTTATTACTATTACTACAGTAACTTACTATTTTGTATTCTAAATACTATTTATATTTTTGCTTGAACTATATTTTATTTGTCTTTAAAAATGTACTTAACTGTGCATATACAGATCAATTAATACATTTGTAAAGTCTTCAAATGTCATAGAAACAGAAACAAATAAAATCAGAGAAGTATCAATTTATATAAAGGGAAGTTTCACGCAAAAGGCAGTGAAAATACGAAAACATTTTTCTTTAAATCAAATCGTATACGTAGCGTCATCGTACTGTCGCAGTGGCCATCGGATCACACACACTACCGTATCACTGCCTACACTGTCATTTATACTATCATTGTCTCCTGAAATACTTCATACGTCAATAATACAAAACAAAATTAAAAGACTTGCCTAAAGTAATCAAGTTTTCAAATAATCAAAATAATTTTTGGACATTAATGGTGACAGTAAAATAAAATGAATTATTTATACAATTTTGTAAAAGATTATATATATTTTTCTTACTTTATACTGAATTTCAATCCTTACATACCTAGATCATATTTCATTAATATTCTACAAAACGTTTCGAAATTATTAAATAGGTGGTTCTGGGCATACGGCCCTGTGAGCGGATTTTTCTCACCACTGTACGCGCTCACCACTTCATCAATCCACGCGGTTCTCGGAACGACGCATTCCAAGTCCCCGCAAGAGGCAACTGGATAATGAAACTAAGTTTCATCCACAAGCCGAGACTGCAAATCGTCTGTCGGCAGCTCATAAAGGTTTCTGAACGAGTCGTTGTCAGGTGAAGCCGCCTGGCTCAAGTGTTTCGCGAGAAGTGAAAGTACAACGTCGAAGGAAGTGAAGCGAAACTGGATGAGGAAACGGGGTCATCACAGTCGCCGGCTAGTTGACTTCCAATAAGAGTTTGCAACCAACGAGAATAATTTACTTCAAACTAAAAGCGGAAGAACAGAACATCTAGAACGTATTAATGTTTTGTGTAATTAAGAAAGCTACGATGTGTTCCATTCGTCAGAGAATATACGTATTCAGTTAAATTCAAATTTAATAATTTTCATAAACATTGCACTCTTCTTTCTTGTTTAAATGAATATGTATTATTTGAAATACAGAGGAAAGGAAGAAAGGCGAAAAATGAATGGCAAGTGCTCCACGTGGAATTCATGCATAAGGTGCAACTGCTTTAAATGCAAAGGTTGCATGCGGAAAACAGAACTATGCTGGGGAATTTCCGAGGTAATTGAGTACAGTGTGTGGGTGAGTTCTGTATATTGGCGTTGTGCAAGCACGCCGGATATTTAATTGCTCTTCACGACGCCCAATATTTCATTGCCCTTCACCACGTGCTACACTATTTCTCTCACTCAGTCACGTATGCGCTGTTTGAAATTGAACTATTTCAAAATATAATATTATGACAGTTAAAAAGACATTCTTCTCACGTTGGACATTAGGAATCCGTTAAAAATTAAAATACATGAATATTTGTTCTAAATTTCAGTGTAAATAATGGAAATTCATGAAATATAAAATCTCTCGGAACCCTGATTAGATTGTAGAGATATTTAACAAATTAAATATTCTATGTCAATGCGCGAAATTGATCTCTTTCATTGTTTATTTTCTCGAAGACGTCTGAAACGAAGAGAATTTTCTTTCAATACATGATGAGCATTTTATGCACTAATCAATATATAATGTTACGAGGAAATATATCCTCATAATGGTATGAAAACAAGATCGTTATTTATCCAAAGATCAATATGATGAATTTGACATGTTACTAACAAAAAATTAAAATAATGAACTGAATTATGTTATTATAAGTGATACTGGATTATTTCTTAATTGTAAACACTACTTGCTGCTGCACGTGCATTCGAAAAGGAGTATGCAAGGACACCTGGTAAAACGATTGAATGTAACCTTGTATTCCCACTTGGCTAATTACCAGGAGAAGTATTCGCAATTTAAATAAATAAAAATCAAGCCGAAAAAATCCATATTCATAACATACGATTCTTGTTGAACTACTAAATACTTCAAAAATAATACGTTAAGAATTTGATGAAACTATTGCTTTCTCGGTAACTAATAACCCCCAACATTTTTTATTATTGCATTTTAAAATTAATAAAAATTTTATTTTATTTTGAAAATCAGAGTTTGGAACTCCAAATCGGTAAGAATAGCATATTAAATTGATTGTAAAGAATTCCCAACAGAATAATCCGTTTTAATACATTATCAAGCGTTTTTATTAATGAGGATTTGATGAAAGCCACGATTTGACGCTGTTATGTCAGATATTCAAAACTCTACATTTAGTTTTCAAGCATTTCAAAAACACTTCATTCCGTGCATATGCTCTACCAAGCAGTCTACGAGCCCAAACGTCATGCGGGACTTAGTGAGTTAGTGCGGCATTTGTGGGGGGTTCACATGAGGTCAGATACGTCTTAACAAATAAGACCACAGTGCCCTCTGCTTCAAGCCTAGGGGCACAGAATTTTAATCACCAAAGAGATAAAAATAGTGGAATTATATCCTTCATAATTAAATTTTCACTATATTATTTTGATTAAAGTGATAGTTAATGGAGAGTTATAATATTACCAAAATTTTTTTGAAGTTATGTTTAACAATCAAACCGTTTCTGATTTTACCACTTAATTCCACTTAACTACTTTTTTGTCAGTTTGTTAAATATGATTGTCCGTCGGGAGATGCATCTTGATTAAGTTATTCACATGTTTTAAATATTTAATATGAAATACAAATATTTTGAAAACATTTATTTCATTCACGTCGAATGTAATGAAGCACTAGAGTAGATCGTAGGTTTTCAAATGTTTCTAAACATACATTAGAGTTGGGTCTCATTTTTTACAATCGTGACCCCTTGTTGGATTGACAATTACCTAATAAAATAAATATATTTCCCAATTGGACGTAAATTTGAATCGGATTAGATTCTCGGCAGGAGTGACCATCGCTTTGAACAATTTGAAATGGAGAAAATGTGTCTGTGTTAAGACGACTCTGACCAGGAGTTCAGCGGGGACAGTGCCGTGTCAGAGGCAGACAAGCTCGGGCCCCAGGAAATCTAAAATTCACGACCCCTCCCTTCAGCAAAAAATTCAATTTTTGAAATTTATGTTGCCTATAACCTATATTTTAATAAAAAGGGTATGAGACACACGAATTTCTCTATATTTTATAAATCTTAATTAATTGCAAAATTTATGCAAATATTATTATTTACAGCGGTTAACAAAATCACAATAATTTTTTTCAGAAATCCATTTTTTCTTCGCGTATCTCATTTTCGGGCCCTGGGGGACGCCCGGTCTGGCCGTGGCTGGCGCCGGCACTGAGCGGTGGTTGCGGGGGTGGGGAGTCGAGGGATCGAACCGCCACCTACTGTGTCGTCGTCGGCGGGCACAGAGCCCCCCCGCGAGCCCATCGCCCTGCCCAGCACGGGCGTGGACGGCACCGACTTCCGGCGGAAGGGCCGGCGCAGCAGGTTGGCGAGCCGCTGCTGCTGGCGCTTCAGCGTGAACGAGGACACGTCGCCCTGCGCAAGGCACGCGCCGTGGGGCCTTCACTCGCCGCCCGCGGAAGCCCCCAGCCGCCAGGCAGGGGCTGCCGGGGCAGCGGCGTGGGCGGCGACGAGACCTGCTTCTGGAGAGAGGCCTCTCCGGCGCGACATTCTACTGGGGAGTGTGGGACGGATTGAACTCTGGAGCAACAACGACTCGAGTCATCGGCATCTCGAATCTTCGACATTTCGAATCTTCGACATTTCGAATCTTCGACATTTCAAATCTTCAACATTTCGAGTCTTTGATATCCCGACTCACTGACATCTCGGATTCTTGATATTGACACATTCTTAGAATCACGAATATTTGATAACACGAATGCGAGGTGAATCTTGAAAACTTGAATTCTTACATATTTAATATGTGGTATGCCTGGTACCTGCAATGGTTATCTCGAATATATAATATCCCGAATATCTGGTATCTTAATTTCTTCAATATCTAGAATATTTTCATGATTAGAATTTTATGTATCTCCTTTACCTTCCCATCACTCTTACCCCTAATAAATCGATTTTCCTTAACTCTCCCTTCAGATTCAAGGTATGAAGGTGCTACTGTATTACGCTTTCCGTAAATAATGAAATTCAGTCGAGGCCGTACTCTCACCCCGTCTGCAGATGTCTACTATTCAATTTTCAATTGTTTGTACCATGTGATGTGATTACTACAAAAACCGATTGCACGTGGTGCATGTAGTGCTTTTACAACAGTTGTGAAATTATAGAAAACGTTCTGAAAATCTCTATAAAAATAACGTAGGGGAAAATTAAATGTTCCGAAAACAAGACTTGAGATTTTATACAAAGCTAACATATCATTTATATTAATTAACGCTTTGAATATCTTCAAAAATATCTAGGTGAATACCATGGATTAAAAAAAACTTGAAAACAAACAATATCAGTGTAAATGCAAAGCCACGATTTTGTAGGGTTTATGTTGAAATTAGTGAAATAATTTATTAATATCGCATTTCGGCTTTCCCAAATTAGAAGAGAAATCGTAAGAAGAATTTTAAAAAGACTTCCTATTTTCAAGTTTGGAGTGTCTGCGATTAAAATTTTATATTTCCTGACAAAACATTTGGAGAGAAGAATTGATGGCAAATCTATTAATTCTTACTTCTCTAAAAATAAACGTGAACGATTCTACCATCTTTCATTGTGAAAGAAAAACTAAATAAAACATACCTCGATAAACGACCAATCCATCATTATTTCTTTTACATCGACTGTTTTGCACCTCGAACGTGTTCCACACACAGTTCTAGAATCACAGTGAACTCACAGGTATACATCTCCACCTGCGCCATGTTCCTCTGAAGCCCATCAGAGATCTTCCCCAAAGAGAGTTCGTTCCCCAGGTGCCGGCAGGTTGAAGACCAAAGAGAACTCACTTCAATGACACAAGACATACCAAAGGCGCATTGGCAGAGCGGGAATTTTAATTGCTTCAAATTGCTACAAAATACTTGTTAAGACTTTGTTATTATTGTTTAATGCAATGTAGTTTTTCAAGCAAGTAACCACTGCTGATATTTTCTCAACTTGTAATTTCAAATATACCATCACCGCTTTCTCCATTCGATTATTTCACCGAAACGCACTCTCACCAATCACCGTTCACCCAGGCCAAATAGAACTTGGGATACAAAGTGCACCATATTACTATTCCTTACTTGCAAGGCACCTAACATTAATCGGTTAGAAAATGAACCCATAACCAAAGAGCTCCAGGTTAGTCAGGGAAACAATTGTTGTGCTCGTGCCTAGTGATCAGGTTTCAGTAATGAATATTGCCAATGGGGTGATGAGATCATGGGTGATTTCGCGAAAGAACAAAACTAAACCAAGAACTTATTTGAGAAAGGAGAGAATGAAGACTCCTAAATTAGTGGACTGTCAGGATTTGAAGGATTTTGTTTGAGATTCCAGACATGACCAATGACAATACTGAAATGGAATAGTTCGGTTTCATGGAGTAAAATATGTTATTACAACAAAGTAGATACATTTTTCAGTTCGCTGAAACAGAAGAGATTTATAAGCCAGGTATACAATGAAACTAATCCTACATTAAAATATTCCTTTTGCAAGAGTGAATCTGTAAGTTTAAAATATTTTTCCAATAAAATACACCAAAAGAAAAAATAGAAAGAAAGAACCCAAATAAAATAGAAAGCAATGGAAAACCGAATTTAGATAACAAGAAAGCACATATTTGGAACAAACATACAAGAATACTATGAAAGCAAAACACTAATTGCGAAAGAAACTTATTGCAACGAATTGCCATTAAGAATTTTGGAACTAGTTTGAGGAGCCGATGGTATCTAAACCATATTGATTGTCGAATATACAAAGCGTAGGTAAAATATGTTTTTTAGAAGAATAGGGATCTTATTCAAAAGAGCCTTGGCAATGTCACGCAAAAAAGTAAACGTGATTGCTCATGTTTTCGAAGACTACGTAAGAAAATTTTGTAAAAATTAGAATACCTTTAAATATGTCAGAGGGAATTATGATTCCCATTGTATTAGAATACTGATTCTGGCAATTCGTCGAAATAATTCTTCCTTCAACAGTCAACACTTTCTACATCAGGGACTGGAATCCATACTGTGACATTACTTCTATTTACACTTTCCAAGTGATTCACCTTGTTTGAAATATTATCGTTTCGACATCTGTAATGACTTTGTGCGCAGTTTTTTTCAATGTTTCTGAAACTTATAGAAAGTGAAGCATCTGACTACATTCATATTCTTCTTTCCTTCATCCTTTCTTTCAAACGCATTATTGTTTTTCCTCATTTTCGACACAACCACAAATATTTTTTTCCGCGTGAAACTCAAGTGGAAAAAATACAGAACAATTCAATTGAATACATCGCAGAGGGTACCAATATATCCAAACTAAAATGCAATCCAATTATATGTTTTTTAAAATCTTACCAAACGATAATATTCCAAGCAAGTTATAACCAAGGCATCAAATCAAGACTTAAAACGTCCAAAACGGTAACTGGCTGGAACTGTATTTCAATTGGAACGCTTTTGGTTTCAGTTTTTAAAAAGGTTCACAACTCCGTGCAACTTGTTACGCTGAATCTACGTTTCCAAAAGTTACTCAAAGGGTAAACAACAGATGATAGAGATTTCAGGCGAGTTCTTCTATTAACTCTTCAAGATACTTAACTGTTATTTTATCGAACCTCCCAAATACAAAAGTGAGGTTTTTATTTAACCTTTCAAAATGATGTCCAAGAATTTCTATAGAATTACATATTTTTAATACTAAGATATGAAACATGTTTGGAAGAGTTAAAGTTGAAACCCAAACCGGAACCTTTGTTACAAAACTCCAATCTGAAATATTTTATCAACCGAAGTGAGAACGTTATTTCTAATGATTTGATGCGTTGGCTGGAACACAAGGGAGTATTTGCACACGGAATCGTAACACGATATGATGCACGTTAAAGTCTTCACCCCCGTTAAAGTCCTCACCAGGACGACATGAACCATTCTAAGTCTTAAAAACGTTTTCTACAACGTTCCTTCTAGTCTGTGATAAATGACAATAGTTTCGAACAGTGACGACTAAATTCCCATTATGCCACATAGTCATGATTCGCACACGACTGCTACCAACACTATGTTTTATCATGGGAATATAGTTAGCAGCACACAGTGTCATAGCTGGGAACGAATTCCATACATTGTGATCAAGCGACTTACATCGTACACGACACAAGTAACGTGATCATTCTGATCATGTATCGTTTTCCGATATAATCCTATCGTAATGTCCGACTTCGCTTTGAGCTCAGAGGCTCATAAGTGTTGTGTCCTTTTCGCCATGAAATTCATATCGTGTCCGACCCAGAGCTTCGCCGCGTGCAAAACCGCTCTCCCACTGCCACGCGCCAGCGAGCCTACCTGTGGCGGGAGGCCGGGCGCCGGGGTGGAGGGCCTGGTGGCGTCGCCCTGCGAGACGCCTGCGACGGAGGCGGCGTCGGGGGCGGGCGGGCGGCGAAGGGCGCGCGGCGGCGGCGCGCGTCCAGGGCCGCCAGGTCGAGCCGGCGCAGCTCCTCCCCGCTCTGCTCGGACAGAGCGCCGCGCACCAGCTCCAGCTGCCTGGCCAGGGTGCGCTCGCGCGCGCGCGCACTCCGCCGCCTCCGCGCGCCCCGCCTCGCTCGCGTGCTGCCGTGCCGGCTGCCCGCCGCGCTCCCGCCTCCGCCACCGCCCCTGCAACACACGCACACACATGCATCCAATCGTACTACATATGTAGCAGATTCAAAACATCGCTTTTTGTTGAGACTGATAAATTCTTACGTGGAGTCTTTAGATAACCTGCGTGTTCCGTGAGTGCCCGTGAGTGCCCGTAAGTGCCCGTCAGTGCCAGTCAGTGCCCGTCAGTGCCCGTCAGTGCCCGTCAGTGCCCGTCAGTGTCCGTCAGTGTCCGTCAGTGTCCGTCAGTGTCCGTCAGTGTCCGTCAGAGTCCGTCAGTGTCCGTCAGTGTCCGTCAGAGTCCGTCAGAGTCCGTCAGAACAAGCCAGATAATTGTGTTATTATTGTTATTATTATTATTATTATTATTATTATTATTATTATTATTATTATTATTGCTCTAAATTTTATATTATAAACATTTTTACTATTAAATGGCATAACACAAATAACATTTTAGTAAGAAAAGTCTCGAAGGGCTACATCTTGTACTTCTCAATTCAAATTATTTAACTGAATACTATCGATGTTTGTTCAACTTGTATGCTCTAAATCTACATAGTACATATTACGCTATTACACAATTACAGAAACATTAGTGAATATTTACAGATCTTATTCAACCTGTAGTTTGTAAGAATATGAACAGATGCGAAAGTATCTATATGCAGTAAGTGCTCGATTATTCAACTTTTCAATGAGCCTTCAAGAAAATACATTTTCAAGTGTCCATGGATACGTAGTTAATTTTCAATACAATGTTTTGGAAAGATCGTTGAAGAAAAAATATATTTGACCTGCATAGAAACCTGTACAGGGCAAATAAGTCTGTAATTAGTAGAAATTAGGGGCTATAGGATAAACATGAGCAACTTTGCAGAGGGTACGAGAATTCTTATTCCTTCAGAACTTTCAATTTTGCGTCAATATTATGGATTTTATTTTCATAAAAAATAGTCTTCATACTATATTTTTATCAGGCTCACATATTGTGACCAAATAAACACAACAAAAGCTATCACTAAAAATTTTTCGCAAAATAGCGTACGTTGAAACAAATAAATTGAATTTAAAAAGGACAACTCACTCCTTTCACTTATTGTTATTAATCATTTACTAATATTCTTTGTAGTTCTCGTGTAACATTTAAAATATGATAACTCAGGAATCGAAATTATAACTTCGTGGATGACGTGACAGGTCTATATTGCATTTTTTCAATCGAACTGTTGAATTCGGGAAATTTACTTCTCCTGTCGGAAGATCAATATACAGTTAGACGCATGTTACAAAACACGCGATGTATCAATTACAAGAAATAATCACTTCGTGCGGAAGTCCGTGACCTTGTCCCGTTCCAAAGAGAGATAAAGGTATTCATTTACGTAGCGGCTCGCACTCGCCAAACTGGATTGGTTTCAGCAACGTGAAACCGCCAGGTTATAGACAGCTGTGATTATCCCGGCTAACTCTCGTATAAAAACAAAGGCATTCAGAAAGTGTTCACTAAATATGAGGTAAGGAAAGCATAATTCATTATTACTGTTATTTGCAAAACTGCTTCTAGATATATTTAGATGAATACTGGAGTACTCGTCGTTCACTCAAGATCGTCGATAATTTTTAGCTTTGGAGCAATGTAGATTATAAAAATTTAACTTCTATAGTTTTAGACTCAATAAAACTAAAACTGATTTCATTTCATAAGTGATTGACCGAATTTGCAAAGAAAGTAAGTTGTGAAAAAACGATTAAAATCTAAGAAACTGAACTGGATTAGGGAATGTAAGAGACCTTCACAATTGAGAATAGATGTGAAGTATATCGACTAAAATGAACACAGGTGTCAGAAGTAACAATACAGAGGAATAGTGAAATGGTAGAGGAGATGGAGATAGTCAGAGGTAAAGAAATGGTGAGTTAAATGCAAGAAAAAAATCAGAGGTAGTTTTGGAGGTAAATAAATATTCAAACAGGTCAGAGGAAAGAAGGCTGGTCGTTTCCTAGTACGGACGAGAGAGAAGTAGTTCGAGTGAAAGTACTGTCCATGAAACTCAATGAAACTAAACTAAAAATCAAAGAACTCTCCCACAAATTAACGGAAAAAAGGAGCTAACCCCATCACAAAGGGCATAAAACGTTAGGTTTTAAGAAATTCTGAATAAAACATGTTCGTGTGACGATTGACATGTGTACTTTTCTTTTTAAATGAAAAATCTCAATGGAATGTTTATTTTATAATCATCCCTTTAGGAAATACAAACGCGTATGCTTCTCATTTCGCAGCTTTCTCATGAGATTGGTCACCCCTGGCACCCTTGCTCATCACTGCTGTCTCTCTGGGATACTCCTAGCCGCGGAGAAAATCGATCAGCCCGCAGAAGTCGCAAGCCTGCAGGGTTGATAATCATCCATACGCATCTTTCTCCATCTTACACCCTTGATCTAATTTCCAAGTCTTTGAGTTATTCATTAAAATCGTGAAGACATGACTCTCAACACTGCAAGGTTAGTGATCATCAGTTTTAGCACTGCGACGCCTATGTAGCATTGCTAAATCGAATTCCAAAAATCTCCAAGTAATCCAAATCAGTTCCTTTGAACCATCCCGGACACTCCATGGTACACCTCCATCATGGTAGATAAACGGCATAAGAAAAGTCAGGGGATGGATTCGGGCTGTGCCTTTTTGAGAGGTAGGTAAACGCCTTAGGAAAAGTCTACCGCGGGATTGAGTCAGGCCATGCCTTTTCGGGGAGGGGGTAAACGGCTGAGGGAACGTCAAATGCGGGATGGAGTCGGTCTATGCTTAGGAAATATCGACCGCGGGATGGAGTCGGGCTAGGCCGTTTTGAGGAGGTAGGCAAACGGCTTAGGAAACGTCGACTGCGGGATGGAGTTGGGCTGTGCCTTTTTGAGGAAGTAGGTAAACGGCTCAGGAAGAGTGGGGCGCGGGCTGCAGTCGGCGCACTCACCCCGCGGGGTCGGAGGCGCGGCCGTTGGCCGTGGGCGGCTCGAGGCCGTCGGCGGTGGCGGGCGCCACGGGCTGCGCCTCCTTGAGCGCCGCCTCCAGCTCCGCCATCTTGTTGCGCAGCGACTCCACCGTGAGGTTGTCCACGGCCAGGCGGCCGGGCAGCAGGCGGCCCGACGAGTCCTCGGCCAGGCTGTCGTCGAATATGAACGCGCTGGGCGCCGCCACCGGGCTGGCGTTCCTGCGCACGCACACCAACACACGGCCTCACACTACTGCTTTCACGTGCGCCCGTAGTGTCTTCTATTCGCGCCGTACAACCAGGGCTAGATATAGACTGGCCTAAAGGGTCACGAACAATCACGTGTCTGGAGGGCAATTCTAGCGGCCGGCTGTTCTGGTCGGAAGTTTTCGGGCTTTCTCCGATGAACGCCATGTAAACGCTCTTACTGTACACACACTGAAGTGCACGACACTAGCACTCAAGCTGGGAGACCAGTCGGGAGCTTAGTGCTTGTCCCGGCTAGGGTGATACCCAGATGGTGGGAGATACCTGGTTGGGGAAAATACTCGAAAGGCGACGTAGGTCAGCGCCGGATCTCAACATCCAGCGTGGGGAAATAACCGCTACCTTACGCCATACATTACACTTACGGGAATAATGACCTTAGCTACTGACGCGCCAGAAATCAATAATCAATCAACGAACAAGTTCGGGTCTTAACAGGGGTCACTTCAGAAAATATTTAAGGGAGATCGTTTAAAAACAAATTGTAATTGAATTTAAAAATGATAGCTAGTAATGCAGACATTAGTTTTATATTTTTAATTCATAAACAATTTGAAAGTAAATCATCTAAAATATACTTTTTAAATATTTCTCTATACTTCGATTTTTTTAAAAGTAGTCGATGACATTAAGTCATTGTTACACTTACTGCTATATAAAACGAATATTTTTAATTACTTCGCGAACGTCCTCAACGGGGCTCGTGGCCTCAACAATGCGCTTACCACTGTTAAAAAGATTCATTTTATAAGGCAGGTGTAATAATGACATAATGCCATCGGCCTCTATAGAATAATCAAAGTTAAGTACTCCTTTTCTACTATAAATAGTTTGAATTTAAACTTTGAGCTTTAAAATATAAATAAAAAATACAGCAAACAATATTTCTTTATTATGTAAACCTCTCGCTCTTATCATTCCAGGCATCTTCTTGTTATAGACAATCAAACTATAACATATTACTCCATACACATTTATTGATGGACTTGTTGGTTACTCTTTTCACATTTCGCACCACACATTTGCGTGCTTTATCATGTGTAAATAGAACTTCTTAAACAATGAACACCAAACGTGCGAAAATCATGAAGTAAATGATAAAAATAATTATTAAGTAATGTATTAATTTATAGATAATTATACTAAATATTTATAAAATATAACCTCATTAAGTAAATATTGTGATGATGTAGTATCAATGTTGTGATGACAAAAGCACAAGTTTGCAGACGGCCGCTAAGCCATCATTTGAAAAAGAAGAGTTGCGTTTAGAAATTCATCATAATGTAAAGGACGACTTGCGTTTAGAAATTCATCATAATGTTAAGATGTTATGAATGTAATTTTACAACAGTTTTTCACATTATTCTTGCTTCGTTTAATTTTAGAAATATTTTATTTATTTACGTGAGAAAAAGTACGCGGGACACTCGTCTCATGTTGAGTCTTAAAATACGATCTCTAGCTTTGAGAGCGTGGATTGTATTCCATGTTTAAAAAAATCGCTGACGAAAGCATAACGTAACGTTAACAAAAATTCCTGAAACACCAAAGAGCAAAATAATTTGTTAATTGAAGGGGTTAGTGAAAAATAGTAAAAAGTCAAAATTTTGCAATTTTGGAATTGAGCAGTCTGTATTGATCTCTCAGCAACTCTCTTTCCCTCTCGTGTTATGTGTTTTTCAATTCCTAGTCAGATGGCAAAATACCTGATTGACTTTTCTTTTATTTTAAATTATTACTACGTGTCCGTTAAACATGAATGAACTCTATTTCAAAAGTGCATTCGTTTTGCCTTTTATTTTTCACTAATTTATTTCTATTATTATGAGACAATGGCAGATACATTAATTGATTTTCTCTAACCTTTTAAAGAAGAATGCGTTACCAAATCATATATAATAATAAAGAACAACATGTACATAATTATTTCAAATAATGAAAAATTCGAAATAAAACATTTACAAAATTATATTTACAGAACACATGCTCCCACAAATTAATATTGGTGGACATGATCTCCCTAGGATGTTTATATGCGAGTGCTAGATGAAAAAGCATCTATTGTATTGAGAGTGCCGACAGTGACCTCCTTGCAACTTGGCAATAAATCTCCCCGTTGACACAACAACATCTCACTGTACTCGTAGTAAAGCACGTGTTAACACATGTACCGCAACTTCACTGCCTTTGAGTCGTAACTCACTTATTCTTGAATGAAAAGTGACGAAGAGTTTGTTGACAGCCCAGACACAATATTTTGTACCCACGTCACCGGCTTAGCCCTAGCGGAAATCATACAGACTCCAGTATGAGTTAAGTTTTCTTTTATAATTCAAAAAAAGATTAAAAAAGAAACACATACTTAATTGTGAGCAATTTGGAAATTTTGGGAGTGGTGCACGGCAGTCTTTTTTATCTCAAGACAACAATAAATAGTGAAATTGAAATTCATGTAGTCAGCCTTCCTTATGACTGCATGGCCACCGCGTTATGCACATGTCTATTTTGATATTTTCTAGGCTGGACAAATACGAATTAAACATTTAAAACAATTACTTGCTCTCGTACGCGCGATCGGCGTACTATTGGAACTGACTGATAACCAAGGCGTCAGGTGTTTACACTTCGTTTTTTTTTGTTTCTTGACCAAAGAGAAATTATATATACACATATACAATTTACTTTTCTTTGTCGTACAAGGCATAATTATCGGTGAGTTGATTGCAAAGCCAACAACAACAACAACACAGTTATTTCTTGTTTTCTGGCGTCAAAGAATTTGAAAATAAAATAAAACTCTTCTCTCAGGGATTGACGGCGTCGACAGCAGTGACAACTCAACGTTATATCTTTAATTTTGGCGTAAAACAAAGAAATAAAAAACAACTGACTCATATATGCCAGAGAAGATGGTGTACTCTACGGAGGGTTTTATGTCAGAGACGCCAGCAATTGTAATTTCTCGTTGTCTAACAAAACTAAATAAATGAAAAAAGTTTATCAACTCTCTTGTACTTTCTAGAGAAGGCGGCTTTTTCTTTGGAGGTCTTTGATGGCGTCGACGGCAGAGTTAAAGCACCGTTATTTCTTGTATGTTGAAGTAAAAAGAAATAAACAAATAAAAACGGGTAACTCACTTGTATTTGTCGGAGAAGGCGACGTACTCTCCCGAGAGCTTGATGGCAGAGTTATCGCATCGTTATTTATTGTATGTTAGAGAAAGAAGAAAGAAAGAAATAAAAACGGGTAACCCACTTGTACTTGTCGGAGAAGGCGGCGTACTCCTCCGAAGGCTTGATGGCGGCGACGGCGGCGTCCGCGCGCCGCTGCACCTCCGCCAGCGCCTCGTCCGCGAAGCTGATGTTGTGGGCCACATCGCGCAGCACCTCCGTCCTGCAACGGCGCACTTCGCTCACCACCCGCCACTCGCACCAGGCGCTCGAGGCTCAGAGTATACAGGCATCTCCGAATAAATGTTATGAACTTCTATGGCAAGGAGACAGCGCGAAAATTATCACATTTTGCCAACGAACATTCACTGGGACATTTCATACAACAGAGTTACATTTGTGTCATTTGCCCTTGACTGCTAGGCAATCTCGTATGCACAGGTGTTCACCAGGAACATGAAAACTTTACTGCGTCAGAACGAGACCTTCCTGACATATGTGCATATAGAGTTGCCTAACAATCAGGGGCAAATGTAAGTGTCACTCCGTTACAATAATTATTCCACTACATGTTTATTGGCTGTGACCGTTTTCGAAACCTCTACATCACCTAGACTCTTGTATCATTTATTCCAAGACACCTGCGACTGGTGGACTAAGCATAAAAAGTAGTAGACTAGAATCAGGAGAATAAATGCATCAACACATTCTAAAAGACGTCAAAAGAAAGTGAATATAACATTTTTTGAAAATAATATTTAAAATATTTATATATTTTAAATTCATGTACGAGTGGAAAACACTCCCAATATCTTACAGGTATTTTTACAATTGAAGATATCAAATTAGTCAATATCACAATGAAAATTTAATTTTTTGCCTGACTTGCGGGGGAGGTATATGTCGACCCAGTCTCCCAAATAAACACAAAATCATAGACCGTCACCCAACTTTCACGAAAGTACCTAACAAAGAAATTATATCACAAGATGCGGCCGTATTCGTAGAGAAGTTTGAAGTTACAACAATGCCTTTTAATCTTGAAATAAGTTCGTACCTTTATACATGCAACGTGAAAAAAATATTGTGATCCTTTACACAAGCTGAATAGCACATACTCTGCTGATTGTAAAGTCCTTGTGGCTCTTCCGAGTAATAAAAGAAATGTAGGTCGGAAGAAAATAAAAAGTACTTTGACAAAGAAAAACATAATTTTCTGATTAAGTTACAGAATTACCATTCAAATTTACGAAGTTTAGATTTGTTTTAACAGTATTTGCACATCCATATATGTTGTATATCTGAGTAGAAGTTAGAAAAAAACTTAATGAACATATAATTGACAAAAATAATCTATATCAGTTCATACATAATGTGGCATACTATACACATCTTTCTTAATTCTCAATCAACACAAGAAATGAATGAAATTCTTGGCTTCTTGCTTGTACAACGAAAACGAAAAGATGACTAATTGCCATATCAAATCGACAATATCTTTCCTCAAGATGTTCATCATCCCAATTATCCAAGTAACCACACAAGACATTCTGTCTAGATGAACACAGAATGCGAAGTAATCAAGCTATTCGCAGAAAGGGCAGATTCAGAGAAATACATTAAAAGGAAAATGACAAAGACGAATACCTAAAGATATTATCATTAACAATGGATAAATTTATAAAAGTAAAATATTATATTTCATTTACCAGATAACCTACTCTAAGAAAGCTAATACTTCATCGCCATTTTGAATATAATTCTTCCTGAGAGGGAAAAAACTTTGACGTGGGTCGAGGACTATAGAATTCGTGTGCAGGAAATGGACCCGACCTGCCCCAACGGAAGCCCACCGCACTGCTGCTCACGCACCGCCTTTCACCTGTCGCTCCCAGATGAAATTCGATACGCTGTCGGCCCCGTTTCATAGGCATTCTCCGCAGCACGCGCGTACGGCGGGCGGCCTAGCGACACGAACGCAGGCGTTCTCGCACGGAACTCAAGTTCATTTAACGAGTTCCGTTTTAGAAGGTACGGTTTTTACTTTGGAACTTTCAGGCAAATCATTCAGTACATTACTAAATGAAATTATTCTATTCTAAATATTATTCAAACTAAAATAATTCTAATTAGTATTTTATATGCAAAACATCTTTTCTCCAAAAATTTTAAAATAAGTCTTAAATTCATTGATTTATTTTGTTTTATGTAGTTTTAATTTAATATACTAAGTTCTGAATTGAGATCAGTGAGGTGAGGTTGGTCTAAAATGTTACAAATTATTGTAAAATGTTAGAACCCCAGAAATACATTGAGCCGAACAAGAAGAATGTTTCTAGTCAATTCTAGTTTTACCTTTATGCTATAGATGATGTCCATTAAGTCATTCAAAAACTGAAAATTATAAGTTATGGTGATGAAGTTTCCTTGCGATGTGAAAACGTATGCCACCTAAAGTGTCCTAGTGAAAGTGGAGTTTAAATACAATGAAGTATAATTACCAACTTCAACGGCGCCAACGGCAACGGTGATACAGGGCGAGAGATTATGGGCTGATGTACAGACAGCTCGAGGCCGCAATAACATACAGGATGTGAACGGCTTTGCCGTGCGTAGTTGAGGGTTCAGCAGAACTAGATAGCTCAGGAGTTCAAACGTCTGACGCACGAAATATTAAACTTGAACAGGCGACACAGAATTGCAAAAGGCGTGAGGGATTTTGGGAGCTGCTGCAGGGTCGCCAGAACCACTGTGTACGAAGCCGTGAGTAGCTTAGAATGTTGTAGGAGACTTAGGACTCTAAATGGCTCGGTTCCGAGTTGGAACAGATGAGAAAGAACTCCCAGAGCCGAGAACCTAAGCACACATGCAGAGCAGACGTCCCTAGGCCAATCGAGTAGGACCGCGAAAACAGGCTGGCCATGATTAGCTTCGAGAAACAAGGAATTGGAGACTTCTCGTGACACTAGTCACGAAGGTTCGCACTCCCCCTATAAAAAACATCTATTACGCAAAAAATATCGATCACGTAAAAATATAGATCCTGTAAAACACCGATCATGTAAAAACATCGATCGTGTAAAAACATCGATCATGTAAAAACATTGATCACATGAAACATTGGAGACAAATAAATATTAACCAAACATCAGGATACCACTGCAAAAAAAGCAGTCAGAAAATTCACTTGGAATAAATGAACCGCTAACTGCAAAAAGGCAATTAGTCCTGTTTTGCATTTTTTATTGGCGGGGAGAGTAGTGAATAGGTCAATGCATACTCCATACTACAGAAAGGAAACATGGCCTATCGATAGCATAGGTCTGTGAATTCATATGCAAAAATACATCGTAAAGAGAACAATTTTCTTAAAACGAGTTTTACAAAAAATATTTTTTTGTTTCTCCTGCAAAATTAGGAAACTTGGCCAACATGTATCTAGCTAAGGTCTGTGCCTTCATATACAAAAATTTATCGTAAAGAGAAAAACTTTCCTAAAACGGGTTTTACACAAAGCTTTTTTATTTCTCCTGTAAAATTAGTAAACTTGGCCAATATGTATCTAGCTAAGGTCTGTGCCTTCATATACAAAAATACATCGTAAAGAAGAAATTCTCTTAAAACAGGTTTACACAAAGGTTTTTTTGTTTCTCCTGCAAAATTAGGAAACTTGGCCAATCTGTATCTAGTTAAGCACTGTGCAAAAATACATCGTAAAGAGGAAATTTTCTTAAGTTTTACACAGTTCTTTTTATTTCTCCTGTTAAATGAGGAAGCGCGGTCTAGTTGCCTTACGGCAGTTAGCGATTCAGATGCCGCGTGGGCGTAAGCCAATAGTGGTGGGCAAGCGCTCACCAGCTGGTGACGAAGGCCTCGTGCGCCGCCTGCTGGCGCTGCAGCAGCGCCGGCAGAAGCACCGCGCGGTACTCGCGCTCGAACTCGGCCGCCTCGCTCAGCAGCAGCACGTACTCGTTGTGCGTGAGGTGCAGCTTGCGGCACGCCTTCTGCAGCTTGTCGCGCGTCTCGTCCAGCTTGCGCCCGCTGCGCCCCGCTGCAACACCACAGCCCGCTCAACATCACAGCCCGCTCAACATCACAGCCCGCTCTACAACATCACAGCTCGCTCTACAACATCACAGCTCGCTCTACAACATCACAGCTCGCTCAACATCACAGCTCGCTCTACAACATCACAGCTCGCTCAACACCACAGCCCGCTCAACACCACAGCCCGCTCAACAACATCACAGCCCGCTCAACACCACAGCCGGCTCAACAACATCACAGCCCGCTCAACACCACAGCCCACTCAACACCACAGCCGGCTCAACACCACAGCCCGCTCAACACCACAGCCCACTCAACAACATCACAACCCGCTCAACATCACAGCCCGGTCAACACCATCACAGCCCGCTACACGCTCAACCACACCACAAACTAAAAGATACTCACAACTCGCTCAACATCACAACCCGCTACATGCTCACAGCTCGCTCAACAACACAACAGACCGATACACGCTCACAGCTCGCTCAACAACACAACAGCCCGATACACCCTCACAACTCGCTCAACAACACGACAAACAAGATGCTTACAACTCACCCAACAACATGCTCACAACTCGCTCAGCAACACGCTCACAACTCGCCCAACAACACAACAACCCGCAACATGCTCACAACGCGCTCAAGAACACCACAGCCCGCAAGACTCTCACAACTTGTTCAGCATCAGTACAGCTCACAACAAGCTCACAATTCGCTCAACATCACATAGCCCACTATAAGCTCAACCACACCACAATCTGTAAGGCACTCAAATCACGCTCAACAACACGACACACAAGACTCTTCCAACTCGCTCTACAACACCACAGCCCGACACACGCTCACAATTCGCTCAACATCACAGCCCGCTACCACGCTCAACCACATCACAACCCGCGAGATGCTCACAACTCACTCAACAACACAACCCTCTACATGCTCACAACCCGCTCAACACCACAACCGGCAACACGCTCAACCACACCACAACTCACAAGACGCTCACAACACGCTCAACAACACCTCAGCCCGCAAGACTCTCACAACTCGTTCAACATGAGACACAAGATGCTTACAACTCGCCCAACAACACGACACATAACACGCCCACAACTCGCTCAGCAACACGCTCACAACTCGCTCAACAACACAACCCGTAAAACTCTCACAACCACTCAAACTCGCTCAACAACACAACAACCCGTAAAACTCGCTCAACAACATGACATACAAGATGCTTAGAACTCGCCCAACAACACGACAAACCACATGTTCACAACTAACTCAGCAACATTACAGCCCATAACATTCTCACAACTCTCTCAACAACACCACAGCCCGCAACAGGGGGGTGTTACTTAATAGGTGGTAAAACGTCCTTATTTGAAAGTTGTGGTGCGAGGGACAAGAGA